GCCGGGGCCAGGGGGCCGGAGGGGGCGGGCATAGCCCTTCCAGGAGCTTGTCTCATGCTCGCCCGTGTCTGTCGTCCGTGGCTGAGCTTCTGACCCACTGTGTGCTGGTGTCATCGTGCCCGTGGTAGCCATGAGCAAGCTGGGGCACAGAGAGGTGCATCGCTCCCCCCAGGTCACACAGCAGCGGGAGAAACCAGGCCGGGGCAACGTGCCAGGTGGCTGGTGACCCCGAAACACGGCCTTAGTGCTCACTCCACACTTGGTGACCCTGGGCGAGGGACATGCGTGGGTGGCGTATTTCCATTGTGACGTGGCGGTGACGGGAGGACGCCTGTCTTGGGCTGGCAGTGCCGGTCAGCACAGGCCCTCTCTTGCTGGTGCAGCGGGTGACACCTCCCCAACCCCCCGGCTCCCTGGGGGTATCTTCCCGTGACCTAGGTGTATCTGGGACATGTTGTCGTCCTCCACACCTGGAGTTGTAAACTGTCCCTGCAGGTAGGTGCACAGGGGCAGCAGGCAGGTAAGAATGGCAGCCAAGGCCAGGGAGGCAATAGGGATGGGTGGAGACTGTAGCAAACCCGGAGCTCCTGTTCACCTGTAGGGCGACGGCAGCTAGGCAGCAGCCAGTGGTGGCCCCGTTGGCGGTGGGCCTGGGGTTGGCAGAGCTGCTCGCATTTTTCCAAGAGAAATGAGAATTTTATGTGAACTCGCCGACTCTTCAAATGTTGATGTTTATTATTCACTAGAGGCCCGCCTCCACCATGGCCTGCCTCTCACACAATCCGGGAGCCCTCGGGGGATGTCAGAGAGCGGGCTTTGGTCCGATCCCCGCAGGCCAGGCCGAGGGACCCCACCTGTGCACGAATCCGTGCACTGGGCCTCTAGTATGCATAGAAGATCTTTGGTTAATCTCTTCCCGCCCTTCTCCCCCTCCTCCCCTCTGAGATTGATCAGTGTGTTCCATGTTTCCATGCCTGTGGTTTCCGCTCCTGCATTGAGCGTCTGCCCCCTGGTGGTCAGTGTGCGTCATAGCGATCGGCTGTGCTGAGGCTTTTATCTAGATAGATTTCCCGAGGCGCGGTGAGGGCAGATGGAGCCGGTGTGCAGCTTTGGACCGGGGCTAGCCCAGGCCCTCTGCTCAAGTCCCACTGACAGAGGCTGCTGCCCACTTGCCGTCTCCACACCCTGCGGAGGGGCCTGCAGTGTCCAGTTTGGGAGAACCTGGCTTCATGTCCCCTGCGCCACCGCCTCCTCTGGGGATTTGGAGGAGGCCTGTAAGG